CAAAAGATCCAACATATTCCTTAAAGTCTGTAAACATTTGGAATAACCCTGAAAAAACAGACTTATGTAATATTCTAAATATGTGAAATATCCTAAATAGCAGTCTGTATTAGGGTTAAATCATAAAATCAGGAGTTTCCAGGATTAATCATCGTGTCACCGTATCTCTGACTCTACGTCCTCCCTTCATTTCTGAACTCACACACATGTACAGCTCGACCTCTGCGGCTGTTTGTTCTAGAACATTCCTCAGTTGCTAAGGAAACAGCTGGTACACACACACACACACACACACACACACACACACACACACGTGTGATTTCACACATACACACCGAGACATGACCAAACCAGTCAGGACAATACATGGAAACGTGAACAAAGCGTGAGCGCAGAAACAGGATACAGTGACATTCAGAAACACGAGGAGACAGAACGAGATGAAACGAAAACAAACTGAAACTAATGAGAGCAGAAACATGACACCAGGAATTGAGATGAGATGAAAAGAAATAAATCTGTGACATGAACCGAGACAGCATGACAACTGAAAGATAAAGATTCAAAGTGATGGACATTCAACAATTTAAAGGGAAAAAAAGAAACAAAAACATGTTTGAGATTAAAAAACAAAAGAGATATTAATGATGAGATGAGATGACGTAGGATGAGATGAGATGACATGGGATGAGATGGGATTAAGTAAGAAAAGATTAGATGAGAAAAGACAAGAAGGAGATAAAACAAACGAGCAATCAGGAGGAGAGACGGTGTAACAACAGTCAGGAGGAGAGATGGTGTAACAACAGACAGGAGGAGAGATGGTGTAACAACAGACAGGAGGAGAGATGGTGTAACAACAGTCAGGAGGAGAGATGGTGTAACAACAGTCAGGAGGAGAGATGGTGTAACAACAGTCAGGAGGAGAGATGGTGTAACAACAGTCAGGAGGAGAGATGGTGTAACAACAGTCAGGAGGAGAGATGGTGTAACAACAGTCAGGAGGAGAGATGGTGTAACAACAGTCAGGAGGAGAGATGGTGTAACAACAGTCAGGAGGAGAGATGGTGTAACAACAGTCAGGAGGAGAGATGGTGTAACAACAGTCAGGAGGAGAGATGGTGTAACAACAGTCAGGAGGAGAGATGGTGTAACAACAGTCAGGAGGAGAGATGGTGTAACAACAGTCAGGAGGAGAGATGGTGTAACAACAGTCAGGAGGAGAGATGGTGTAACAACAGTCAGGAGGAGAGATGGTGTAACAACAGTCAGGAGGAGAGATGGTGTAACAACAGTCAGGAGGAGAGATGGTGTAACAACAGTCAGGAGGAGAGATGGTGTAACAACAGTCAGGAGGAGAGATGGTGTAACAACAGTCAGGAGGAGAGATGGTGTAACAACAGTCAGGAGGAGAGATGGTGTAACAACAGTCAGGAGGAGAGATGGTGTAACAACAGTCAGGAGGAGAGATGGTGTAACAACAGTCAGGAGGAGAGATGGTGTAACAACAGTCAGGAGGAGAGATGGTGTAACAACAGTCAGGAGGAGAGATGGTGTAACAACAGTCAGGAGGAGAGATGGTGTAACAACAGTCAGGAGGAGAGATGGTGTAACAACAGTCAGGAGGAGAGATGGTGTAACAACAGTCAGGAGGAGAGATGGTGTAACAACAGACAGGAGGAGAGATGGTGTAACAACAGACAGGAGGAGAGATGGTGTAACAACAGACAGGAGGAGAGATGGTGTAACAACAGACAGGAGGAGAGATGGTGTAACAACAGTCAGGAGGAGAGATGGTGTAACAACAGACAGGAGGAGAGACGGTGTAACAACAGTCAGGAGGAGAGATGGTGTAACAACAGACAGGAGGAGAGACGGTGTAACAACAGACAGGAGGAGAGACGGTGTAACAACAGACAGGAGGAGAGACGGTGTAACAACAGACAGGAGGAGAGATGGTGTAACAACAGTCAGGAGGAGAAATGGTGTAACAACAGTCAGGAGGAGAGACGGTGTAACAACAGACAGGAGGAGAGATGGTGTAACAACAGACAGGAGGAGAGATGGTGTAACAACAGTCAGGAGGAGAGATGGTGTTGATGTTTTTTTTTATTCACACAAGAATCTGTGATGAAGTCATCAGTGGGTATTATCCTTTCTCTCCTCCTCTTCCTCCTCCTTCTCCTCCTCTTCCTCCTATTTCTCCTCCTCCTCTTCTTCCTCTTCCGCCTCCTCCTCCTCCTCCTTTGCTCTTTGCAATGATTAAAACTCTTGTTTTTCTAATCGATTCTCCTCAAGGACCATTGATCTGCTGACACACGCACACACACACACACACACACACGCACACACACGCACACACATGCACACACACACAGTGGAAACCTGGAAATGAAATGAAACAGAAACTCCTCCTCTCAGATTGGATGATGTGTCTGAAGGTCGACGCCACGCTCAAACATCAGCACATTTTAAACACACAGCTAACATCAACACTCGTTAACCAATAGGAAGTGTGTCACACCTGTCAGCACCGACACAAACAATAACGCCAAAGATCCGTTAAGAACAAACGTGGAATGTTCGTACCAATAAATCCCGTCTGTCTGTGTGAGCTGATCCACGCCACGTCTGACAACTTCCTGTTTCACTCTGCAATTTGCTTCTAAAGCTTTCCTCCATGCCGCAGATCACCGCGGCTTTATGTCTTTGGGCTTTCCGTCCGTCTGTCCATCACATCCTTGTGAAAACAATATCTTAAGAACAAATTTGGCACAAACGTCAACTTGGTCTCAACAATGAACTGATTAGAGTTTGGTGGGCTAGGGTCAAGGGTCAGAGGCCAAGGCTGCTGTGACCTTGCATCCATCGTATTTTTATGAATGCAATGTCTCAAGAACAGCTTGAAGGAATTTCTTCAAGTTTGGCACAAATGTCTACTTGGACTTCATGATGAACTGATTAGATTAGGGTAGGCAAAGGTCAGAAGTCACTGTGACCCTTTTTCCATCCAATTCTTATGAACATAATATCTTTAGAACACTTTGAGAGAATTTCTTCAAATTCGCCACAAACGTCCTCACACATTTAACAGTAAACTGATTATATTCGGGTGGCTGGAGATGACAGGTCAGTGTCATTGTGACCTTGTCTGTCACGTCTTTGTTAACGCAACATCTCAAGAATACCTTGAGGGACTATTTTAAAATTTGGCACGAATGTCCACTTGGACCCAATTATGATTTAACTGGATTTTGGAGGTCAAAGGTCATTGCGAGCTTGCATCTCTCTCATTCTAGGGAACCAAATATCTCAAGAAATCTTGAGGTAATTTCTTTAAATTTTGCACAAACGTCCTCCTGGACTGAAGAATAAACTGATTAGATTTTGGTGGTCAAAGGTTAGTGTGACCTCACTAAACGTGTTTTGTGAGAATTCATTCACTTTTCAATTCTGATCAAACTTGACACAGATGTCTAACAGGATAAAATAATGAAGGTCAAAGGTCAGCTTCACTGTGACATCATCATGTTTGGGGGAGACGCAGAACGCAGGGCGGGGATTCTAGTTTATATGAATTATATCTGTACTGAATCCTTTTGTACACCAAGAACACTGACTCAAACTAAAATAACTCACATTTAAATATTACAACCAAAATCTTTGTTTAGATAAACAGGAAGTGATTTCTCTTCAAAATAAAGTGGCACAAAAGTCAGAGAGAGTGACTGTGTGACTGACAGCTGTACAACCATCCAACACTTCCCGTTCTCCTGCTGTTACCGTGGAGACGCCCTTCAACCCACCGACACACAAACACACACACACACACAGTTATTTGAATTTCATAGAAACTTTCCAGAAACAGAGACCTAAAGAAAAGTGAATCCAGAGAGCTCAGCTGATTGACAGCTGTAGTCATGACAACAACACACACTAATGAGGATCACACACACACGCGCACACACACACACACACACACACACACTCAGAGGCTGGGTTTTAAGTTTCAAAGCTTTAAAGTGAATGCTTTTATTTTGAAGTCATCCAATTATAGATTTCCACTGTCGACAAAACGAGCAATTTGTACACACACACACACACACACACACACAAACACACACAAGCATACACAGACACACACACACACAGTTTATTTTTCATGTTGTTGATGAATTATGGATTTCCTGCTCTAATATAATAATGAGAGTCTTTTATTTTCTTAGCTTGATCTGTTAGTTCTGGACTTCCTGTTCAAGCTCATTTTATCTTTCTTTAATGTGAAAATCTCTGACTGCCACCTGGAAACCTTACATGTGCTTTTATATTGAAGTGTCAGTCTCTCTCTCTGTATGATGTCACTCTGCTTAAAAAACACATGCTTTTATTTTGAAAGAATATCTTCATCTGCTATGCAATATGTGCTTCTAAAAATGTTTTATTTTGACAGGTGTTCATCAGTGTACATAATTCAGAGTTTATTCATGATTTACATTTTTATTGATTTTTTGTCTTTATTTTTATTATATTGATTTACTTGTTTTTAATTTTAAGTTGTTGATTTATTGTTTTTCATTTTATTTTATTTATGCATTATTTTTCATTTTATTTAATATGTTTTCATTTTTGTTTAATTGATTTATTGTTTTTTATTTTATTTTGTTGATTTAGTGTTTTTCTATGTTTTTTTAATGATTTATTGGTTTTCGTTTTATTTGATAGATTTATTATTTCTTTTATTTTATTTATGTTTTTTATTTTATTTTTTTATTATTATTTTTTTTTTTGGTCTGACTAGTTTTCATTTCTATTAAATAGATTTTTTGTTTCTATTTTTATTTTGTTTCATTTATTGTTTTTAATTTTTATTTTGATTATTTGTTTTTATTTTGTTTAATCAAATTATTATTTCTATTTCCATTCCATTCCTTTGTTTTTATTTTAATGCTTCATTTTTTTTAATTTTACTGATTATATGTAAACAAACAGACCCCATGCTTTTATTTTGAAATCCAGAAACCATCACTGTGCACTATGAATGCTTTTATTTTGTGTTCCGTGTTTGTTAACGACGTGTCACTTTCTGTCTGCAGGTTCCTCCTTCCTGTTTGTGAACACGTCAGGTCGATACGGCGGGCAGCGCGCTCAGCTGCTGCTGCCGCCGCTCAAAGAAAACGACACGCACTGTGTCAGCTTCCTGTTCTACCAGGCAGGAGGCCGCGAGGGCGCCACACCCGCCACACTCAACGTCTATGTCAAAGGTACAAGTACCGCATTGCCGCACTACAGTACTACACACAAATACTGCAACACAGTGACGTCAGGGTGTGTTCACGGTGTTCTTGTGGTCCGCAGAGAACAACAGTCCTCTGGGAGTTCCCGTCTTTAACTCTTCAGGCCCCGCCTACCACATCTGGAAAGGGGTGGAGCTAGCTGTGTCCACCTTCTGGCCCAATTACTACCAGGTAACATATTTATTAGAGAAAAGACAACAAACTGAACGTTCACTACAACTGAGCCGAATATTTCCAGGTGTTACTTTAACTTGAGAAGTCTAAACATGGAACTGTTGAGTCGGACAGATGTGAGACAGATGGACGCAGACTCTGTGATGTCACGTACTGGTTTTAATCCTTGAGTTTGGTATTTCTGAGGCATTTTGTTTTAAGGTGCCCCATCTGTCCGTCCTATTGTTTGAACAGGGTATCCAAAGAACACCTTGAAGGAATTCCTTCAAATTTTGCACAAACGTCCACTTGGACTCAACAATGAACTGATTTTGCTGTCAAAAGTCAGAAGTTAAGGTCAGTGTCACTACATCTGTCACATTCCTGTGAATGTGATATCTCAAAAACACATCAAGGGAAATTCTTTAAATTTGCTACAAATGTCCAATTTGAGTCAAGGATAAAATAGTTAGATTTTGGTGGTCAACAGTTAAGGTCACTGTGACCTTTTGTCTCATTCTTGTGAATGCAATATCTCAAGAACGCCTGGAGGTATTTCCTCAGATTTCCTCACAAAATCAAAGTCCAGTTGCCTACGATTTAATTGTTGCCAGAATGGAATTGACCTGGATAAATGAGAATATCCACAAATGATTCCTCAGATTTTGCACAAACGTCCCCTTGGACTCAACAATAAACTGCTTAGAATTCATTGGTCAAAGGTCAGTGTCACCCTGTCCATTGTCTTCTTGGGAACATGACATCTTGAGAACAGGTTGGTGAAATTCCTTTAAATTTACTTAACAATGAAATCATTAGATTTTGGTGGTCAACAGTCAAGATTACTGTGACACTTGAAAGCGATATCTCAAGAACATGTTCAAATTTGGCACAAATGTCCACTTGAACTCAAAGGTGAACTGATTAGGTTCAACAGTCATCACTGTGACTTTGTGTCCCTCATTCTCATGAATGCGATATCTAAAGAATGCTTGAGGGAATATTTTGCACAAACCCCACTTGGACTCGACAATGAACTGATAAGAATTCAGTAGTCATAGGTCAAGGTCACTGTGACCTCATCTTTCTCATTCTTGTGAATGCAGGATCTCAAGAACACTTTGAGGAAATTTCTTCACATTTGGCACAAACGTCCACTTTGAATCAAGACCAAACAGATTAGATTTTAGTTGTCGAATGTCACTGTGACCTTGTGTCTCTCTCATTCTTATGAATATGATTTCTCAAGAATGCCCAGGGGGATTTCTTCAATTTTTTTGCAAAAACGGGTGCTTGGACTCAACAATAAAGTGATTACAATTTCCGTTTATTCTAGAATGGGGACTGTTTACATGTGCATATTGGTATAATTCCACTGTGTCTACTGTTGTTTGTACTGATACTGTACATATTGGTATCATTTACTGTGAGCTGTTTGTACTGGTACTGTGCATTCTGCTATAATTATTTGCATTGCTATTTGTTTTTTCTTCAGATAAATCTGATAGTTGTTGCTCGGTCTCTTTACTCATTTATTTAGTAGAGTGTCCACACACCTTCTCATTCTACATATACATAGAGGTATACTGGTGGCTTTACAGCCTACATTTTATTCATTATCTCTGATCCCCACGCTCACTTTGGTCGTTGCCACAGTGCGACGCAACACCACTGACGCTAGGTGGCGCCGATCAAAGGTCACTGTGACCCTGTCCATTGTATTCTGATAAATATGATAGCTTGAGAACAGTTTTGCACAAATGTCTGCTTGGACTCTGCAATGAACTCATTAGAATTTGGTGGTCAAAGGTCAGTGCAACCTCACAAAACTCAAGAATTCATACACTAATTATGACCAAACTTTACACAAATGTCTAATAGTGTGTGACACTCCTGTGCCAGGAGTCACTGACGTGTGGAGACTATCAGAGACACTGGACAGGTGGGCGGAGTCATGCAACCATGGGGTGGACTGGTGGGCGGAGCCATACAACAACAGGGTGGACTGTGGGCGGAGCCATACAACCACAGGGTGGGCTGGTGGGAGGAGTCATACAACCACAGGGTGGACTGGTGGGCGGAGTCATACAACCACAGGGTGGACTGGTGGGCGGAGTCATACAACCACATGGTGGGCTGGTGGGAGGAGTCATACAACCACAGGGTGGACTGGTGGGCGGAGTCATACAACCACAGGGTGGGCTGGTGGGAGGAGTCATACAACCACAGGGTGGACTGGTGGGCGGAGTCACAACCACAGGGTGGACTGGTGGGCGGAGCCATACAACCACAGGGTGGGCTGGTGGGCGGAGTCACAACCACAGGGTGGACTGGTGGGAGGAGCCATACAACCACAGGGTGGGCTGGTGGGAGGAGTCACAACCACAGGGTGGACTGGTGGGAGGAGTCATACAACCACAGGGTGGACTGGTGGGAGGAGTCATACAACCACGGGCCAATTGTGTGCATTATTGTACAGTGTGATGAAAACAGTTTCCTGTCTGATACGACTTGGTTTGTCTGAGCGACGATCACAGTTTGAAGACAAATATTTGTCTTCAGCAGGGTCTCACTGCCGTCACCACAGAAGAAGAGAGACTGATTCAGTACAGCCAATCACACACACACACACAAACACACACACACATGCACACACACACACACACACACACCCACAGTGTTGTGGGTTGTGAACAGGCTGCAATTACAAGCATCCCATCATCACAGCAGGCTACACTAATTAGCTGCATCGCCACGGCAAAGACAGATTCACCTCGTTAGAGTGAGGAGTTAATGAGAGAGAAACAGCGAAGGAGAGAAGCAAAGGAAGAAGGAAGGAAGGAAGTGAATGAGAGAAGAAGAATGGAGGGAAGAGGAGTCAGAGCTGAGAGCAAGGAGGAGGATGCAGGGAGGAGGACTTCCTGTTTCTGGGCGCCAACAGGAAGTGCGTGCCGCCGGTGTCTGTGGTGATAACACTGTGGAATGCGCACACACACATATACACACACACACACACACACACACACACACACACAGCCCTTGTGAGGTCAGCTGATCATCTGTAGAGGGCGTCAGGAGTTCAGAATGATTTAAAACACATCTTATAGTTAATCGACGTGAGGAGCGCAGCCAGAATGAAATCTGTTCAGACTGTTTTTGGACCGCCGTGATGTCAGAACAGGAAACAGGAACAAAAAGAGGCCACAGACACACACGAGGAGAGGAGAGCAGATGTTTAACTGACATTTAGTGTGAGGACTGGATAAAGAGTCATCTGGAGGAAACGACACTTCTCAATGATTCTCTGAGATGATGACAGACGGAGCAAACCAATCACAAGGACGAGTTTCCTTTTCATGAAGACGTGCATGGTGTTCAGTCAGGGCTCTCGCCCAACCAGCTTGCCCATTGGGGGGGGGGGGGGGGTAACGTCCCTTTCACACCGCAAAAAGAACCCTGCACAAGTAACATCCGTTTTCTTTTCTTGTGGTTATTGGGAAGGTAATAATCAGCATTCTCTCTCAGGTCACATGACTCTGCAGCAGCCACATTATCAGCTCCGCCCCCATCAGCAGGGATGACAACACAACAGCTGGGTGGACACGCTCTTTTTTAGCCCCTCTGCTGGTGAGATGCAACGACAGGTCGCCATAAAATACGACCTGTCTCTGTCCAACCGGCGCTCAAGTATCGTTCTAAATTTAGTCTGCAGTGGTTTTGAAGTGAGACGGACAGAGTCAACAACTGTGAAGTTTTCACCAGCCTTCATGCTGCTTTCTACTGATTACTGACCTGTTTTCCCGCCTGTCTGCGACACTGAATGTGGCACACAGTAAAAACACACACAGAAAAACAACCTGCATACAGACACTAATCCCTGTGTAAAAGGGGGTGGAACTGGATCAAATGGAAACAATGAAACAACATCAACCATGGCTCACATATGCAGGCGTGAAAACGATCTCAGGTGTGATCATAAGTTGGTACAAGCCAGTTTTTAGACTCATCAGCACCTTCTGGGACCAACAATAGTAATACTCCTGTTACTCCTGCTGTTGCTGCCATCAGTGAGGCTGATGGTCATGTGATCTGTGTGTCAGGTGGTGTTCGAGGCGGTCAGCACCGGTCAGAGAGGAGTTCTAGCCATCAAGGACATCACACTGCAGGGACACCAGTGCAGTAAGTACACACAGACCCAGGCCCCGCCCCTTGTAGAACAGGCTCCGAATTGGTTAACGAGGTTTGGCTGCTTAATTGGATAACGATGTTAAAAGTTGAACTGGCATCGTAGAATCAAGGTCAGTTTGTGTGTGTGTGTGTGTGTGTGTGTGTGTGTGTGTGCGTGTGTGGAGACAGGGGAGCTCATTAAAATATAAATTGATTAGCATGGACTTTGATCCATCCGTCTGTTTATGTACCTGCCCGTCTGAAGACCCACATTTTTGATGTTGCTTTGTTATGTGAGCACCGCACACACACACACACACACACACACACACACACTCGACTGTTAGTGTGTGTTAAATCTCCAGTAAACATCCTTGACCTGAACTTTTTCTCGCTGCCTGTTTTTACCTCAACACTGTCCAATAAAGTGATTGAAACACACACACACACACACACACACACACACACACACACACACACACACACACACATCCTCCACGGTCCATTTTCTGATTGGTTCTGTGAGATTTTTGCTTCCTGGCTCATGAGATCAGTAGAAAAGGTTAGCCGTTGCAGAGGTGATATGAGCCAGGTGATGATGTCATCAGTGTGTGACCTCTGAACCTTTCTGTTGTGTGTCCTCAGTGAGCACGCCTCACTTCCTGCACATCAAAGGCGTGGAGGTGAACGCAGGACAGACGGCAACGTTTCACTGCACCGTCAATGGCCGACCGCAGAGCAACCTGCTGCTATACCTGCAGGTACCCATCATCTATACACATCTATGCTCATCTATACTCATCTATACCCATCTTTACCCATATTCACCCATCTTTACCCATCTATACTCATCTATATTCATCTTTACCATCTATACTCATCTATGTTAATCTTTACCCATCTTTACCCATCTATACTCATCTTTACACATCTTGACCCATCTTTACCCATCTATACTCATCTATATTCATCTTTACCCATCTTTACCCATCTATGTTAATCTTTACCCATCTTTACCCATCTATACTCATCTATACTCATCTTTACACATCTTGACCCATCTTTACCCATCTATACTCATCTATACTCATCTTTACCCATCTTTACCCATCTATACTCATCTATACTCATCTTGACCCATCTTTACCCAGCTATAGTCATCTATACTCATCTATACTCATCTTTACCCATCTTTACCCATCTATACTCATCTTTACCCATCTATACTCATCTTTACCCCTCTATACTCAACTATACTCATCTTTACCCATCTATACTCATCTATACTCATCTTTACCCATCTATACTCATCTTTACCCATCTATACTCAACTATACTCATCTTTACCCATCAATACTCATCTTTACCCATCTATACTCAACTGTACTCATCTTTACCCATTGTTACCCATCTATATTCATCTATACTCATCTTTGCCCATCGTTACCCATCTATACTCATCTATACTCATCTTTGCCCATCTATACTCATCTATATTTGTCTTTGCCCATCTATACTCATCTTTACTCATCTTTACCCATCTATACTCATCTATACTCATCTTTGCCCATTGTTACCCATCTATACTCATCTTTACCCATCCATACACATCTTTACTCATCTATACTCATCTATACTCACCCATACTCATCTTTACCCATCCATACTCAACTATACTCATCTTTACCCATCTATACTCATCTATACTCACCTATACTCATATTTGCCCATCGTTACCCATCTATACTCATCTATACTCATCTTTACCCATCTATACTCATCTTTACCCATCTATACTCATCTGTACTCATCTATATTCGTCTTTACCCATCTGTACTCATCTTTACTCATCTATACTCAACTATACTCATCTTTACCCATCTATACTCATCTATACTCACTTATACTCATCTATACTCATCTTTACCCATCTATACTCATCTATACTCATCTTTACCATAAGCAAGCCTAACTGAGGGTTGGTACAGGGCAAGCCTGAGCCAGCCCTAACTATAAGCTTTATCAAAGAGGAAAGTCTTAAGTCTAGTCTTAAATGTGGAGACGGTGTCTGCCTCCCGGACCGCAACAGGAAGATGATTCCACAGGAGAGGAGCCTGATAGCTGAAGGCTCTGGCTCCTGATCT